ATCTGTAGGGCTATTTCAGAAGTCTGTGTGTTTTATATAAATTCAGCATGCTCAGTAGAAGTCTGTTCTGGTGTGCAACAATGTATCATCATTTAAAAATGAGCATTAAAAAATCCAAGCTTGTTATTAGATTTGCATGCAAAATAATTTATCCTATGCAAGGCAGATACCGTCATGGCAATACAATGATATTTGCTGCTGTATGCCTACACAGTTTTCAAAACTAAAATTCAATGCTTAGCTAAATTGCTAAGCAGACTGGTAAATGTCCAATTTTAGCAGCCTAACATATGTTTATAATTTTTGTTTTAACATATGCTATGTTGGTTGAACTCCCCTCCCCACACATACGGTAGATAAAAGCTGTCACATCACAAAATGGTGGCAGCCCAACTTTTCTAACATTTTCCATGGCACTTCAGAGTCTTGCATTAATTAGCTATTCTTGGATAGGAGACAGACTCTCATCTTTGTAGAATTTTGGTTTCAAACCCGTCATGTACTTGGGTTTATGTATGCAGTAGCCCATCTGTGTTTCTGCAGCCATAAGCTGTAAAAAGCACAGGGCAGAGAGAAAAGCGGTCAGCAGAAGCGAGGGTGCCCTTGGCTCACAGATGCCAATACTGAGCAAATGGCCCCACAAGCTGGCCCATTTGGGCTCCAGTTTGCTCAAACAGGAGCATTCTCCCTCTTCCACTTTTACAGGGGAGGTGAGTGAATAAAACAATGTTGATGCACAGCACTGTCTCCTTTCATTGTGCTAAATTGCCCCTCTTTTCTCGTCCTTTTTCAAAGCAGGTGTAAGGAGGAATTTCACTGAGTCTGTGATTCTTTCCTAAGCCTCAGCTGGGTAGTGAAGAATTGTGACAAATACCATTGCAGCTGTGATAATGCTGTCTTAATCCTTGCTGCACTATGACACGGAAACCTGGATTTAGACATGAAAGTACATTCCTTAACAGAACAGCAGTATGGTCCCTTATCGAATCAAGCTGCCTTTTGCATGTGCTTCAAAACTGTGGTATTTTTTTTCTGATGTATTCTGTCTGCTATTTCACTGTTGTCAGACTCCTGACTGTGGTGTACTTCAGCATGTGTAATGTCTGCTGGGCTGCTGCATGGGGAATGGTTGGTTTTCTGTGGAGGGGGAAGGAGCTTTGCCCATCAGTTGAAACTGCTGTAGAAGTGTCGCAGGGTTTGTGATACAGGACTGATGTTGGCAGGTGTGGTCGTACTGGTGTCAGGTCTATGCACAGCATGGACAGAGTTGTTCTTATGCCTTCACCCCTGGGTGGTGTGGATGCCACCTCCTGTCCTGTGGTCTGCCTTGGAGTTGCTCAAAAGCATGAGCTAGGTGCAGGCATAGTTCCAGGCTTATTGGCATAACGTAATGTATGATGTCATTCCTATCCAAGACTAGAGCTGGAGTAGACATCTCAGTATGGAGATTGAGGTCCAGCAGCCTGAGCCCATGGAGCAGCTGCGGTGCCCTGGAATGTATCAGTGGTGCTGTCTGGCTGGGGACATGTGTAATAGGAGGTGTTGGGCCTGGTGCTTGCATGCACCTGCAGAGCTTTGAGAAGCCCCACAAAGAGCTGCCAGCAGAACAGCCTGTTTCCAAAGCCCTGCGTCTGCATCCAAAGCCCTGTGTTGGCTCCCAGCTGGGAGCCAGAGCCACTGTCAAACCCAGAATGCAGGACTTGCTGGTGATGCTTGTGGAGGGCTTTGCCATCTTTGGATCGTAGAAGCCAGTGGTGGTTGCTCAATGGCTATTTCCCATTTATGTATTTGTTTTCAGCTACAGGACCTGCAGCTGCTGTTTGGCTCGCTGTTCTTGTTAGCTGACTGGCAGGCCTTGCTGTGGGATTCAGGTTTTGTCAGTGTGCACAGAAAACAGTTTGTTTCCCTGCCAAATGGAAAGCATGGTGGAAATAAAGGTTGAAAAAGATACATTTAAACTGCTTTTCCAGACATTTAGATAAACATAGAAATAAATAAACATAAATGCATAAATTTCTGTTTATTATAAGAGAGTAATTAGTGTGTTCTTAACACCAGGTATTTATTGCTAGAAGAAAGGTAAAGAGATGTCTTTATTTTCCAGTGTTGCTCTCTGCCTTGGTAAACATTACTTTGAAGATTTTGTGTACAGTCTGCAGAGTGTAAACATATTTTACTTTCTTCTGTGGTTTCTTTGCCCAAAAGTAACTTATCACCAGTTGAGTTCAACTAAGTCCAATACAATTTTTCTGTAACGATTCTGAAAGGAATACGTGACTCTGTGGTGAGAGAGGGAGGCAGCAGAGTCTTGGTGTAGGACTTCTGTGTTTCTGGAACTCTGTGTGATACCATGTTAGGGGTACATTTAGTGCTTGCTTGCTGTTTTTTGCAGTATTTGGCCATTGGATAACTCATCTAAAAACTACCATTTTTCTTACTGCTCACATTATTTACTGCTCAAATTTTGCTTTTAATTAGAATAATAATGCAGGTAATAATGCTGTTCAACTATTTAAGGCACAGGCATAATGTTAGAAGGAAAACTCTGATACAAGTTCACTGGAGGTTTTTCTCCTGTACAAGTTTGTGAGTATATATCACTTGCTTAGAAAAAAGATAGTTTTTCTGTACTATCAGAAACTGATAGCATGCTTCCTCATTGCAAATATTGAAATATAATTGGGTAAGCCCTTAAAGATGTATATACTAGAGTCTCCCTTAAAAATAATGAGTCTTAAACAAGAGGTCCCCCCCCCCCCAGTACTTCTGGTGTACTTCTTATTTATTTTTCCATAAATTTACAATCATAAAAACTGTTTATGTGAAAGTTAAGCTTCTCATATGGTTGTCTGATTCTCAGAGGAATGATATTTAAGAAAGCAGCAAACTCCACAAGAATCACGATAAAGTTATGGGAGTTTTTTTGTGCATTATGGTTATGTGTAAGTTTTGAATTGAAGTTTTTAGAAAAATAAATGTATGGGCAGATGGTGATATTTACTTAAGGGAAGCTGAATTCATTATCTGACTAGGACTGGGTATTTCAAGCAGCTGTTTGAAAATGAGAACTCACTTTCCATGAAGGAGAACGTATGTTTCAGGAAAATGGGGTCTCTTTTCAAAATGTAAAGGCTATCCCTTGCTTAGCCTCTATCAGAGTGTTTTCAGATCTCTGTGTGAATTCATTTATTGGAGAACATTTTCAGTAATGATCAAGAGCTAATTTGATGAAATAGTTTTGTAAACTCTTAACTGCCCCTGGCCCCGCCAAAGGCAGTCATCCTTAAAGTTTCAAAACTAGATAAAATTTATAGCTGTTATTATATAAAATAAGCTGTTATTTATTTCTAAAGATACTTGGACAGAAAAAGGATTAAACAAAATATTCAGTAATCTTACACTTCCCCACCAGGTTTAACTTGCTTTTATTTTGATTGATTTAGATACAATGATTTGAGGAAATAGACCAATGGAAAACTTCTAGAGATAAGTCAGAAGAAAGAAAGCCAAATGTGACCATACTTATTACCTTTTACAGATTTGTTTTTTCTGGGACTCTCTATTCTAGTATGTTTGTTCATTTGCATACATATTTTGAAGCGTGAGAATATGAAAAATAGTCTCACCTTGTTTATTTTGTTACTTACACTTATTTTCCTTATGTTCCTATGGAAAGCTAGCCAGATACTGTAATCCTAAAGACTGTATCCCTTGAAGACTGTGGTGTGTTTATTGTTGCTTATGCCCTTTCTTCCCCGAGTTCTTTAAGATGACTTTCACAGAAAGTTCTTTCACTCAGAAAACCTGTGGCCCTGTAATTCTTGGTTCATAGAGAAATATAAGCCAGTTTATAGTAGATACATTTCCCTGGTCTCTTAACTTCTAATGCCTCTGTTTTCCCATTCCATAACAAGCAAATTTTAATGCTTGATTATTTTACTGGGATCTTTGCTAATATCTCTAAAACCCAACTACAGATTTTCAAGTAATTTTTCATTCAGAATGGGCTTATGCATATGCAGTGACTGAAAGGTTTATCACTCTCAAACATCTTTGGTTTTAGAATTATCTTTGAACTCTACAGAGAATGCAGCTGTGTACACATGAAGCACAAAGCCTGTTTGTGAACAGGTAGGATGTGTAAAGATGACCCTTTGATGGGAAATGAGTTCTTTGGATCAGACAACTTGAAGAATCTCATCACTTTGCTTTCCTGGTGTCTGACAAGCCTGCCTCCCCTGTACAGCTGTGGAAGCTGTGCAAATAGCCATCCTGGAAAACATATGGAAAAAGGGCTTTGTGATCACTGCAAAACCCTAACCTTGGTTCTGACTTCATGGAGTCTTTATGGTGAATCTTGTGCAATACTCATGTGAATTTAATAAGCTGTTTATGTATAAATATATGACTTGTCTGGCCATCTGTTTTTTTGTAGTGGTTCAGTAGTTTGAAAGGTTGAACTGGTTTAACCTTGTTTGGTGTTAAATAAGAATTAGTGATGATTGCATAGTGCATGCCACATGCATCAGGTAGATGTGGAACAGCTTCTGCTAATGGAGGAGATTATACAGCAATAAGTTAATTGCTTATTGTAAGCGAGTTCTGACTGCTGAAGGGCACTGTTAAGTTTCTGAGTTTCTCTTAAGTAATATTAAGTTATTGCCACATGTTTTAATTGAATGAAAAATATTGTTTCAAAGAAGGCCTGATGTTTATTCATCTTTAAAGAGCATCATCTGGAATGGGGTTCAGGCTAGGTCTAGAGTCATTAATACTGATGCAGTCATGCAGAAGCCTGAAAACTGAATAAAATACCCTAGCTGAAATTTGGCCACAAGGGTATTTTCCATCCTCTGAAGTCAGAAGAGTGGTTTATAATGGGAACTTTATCATGCTAATCAAGCAGACATTTGGATTTGTCTATCCCTAAGATAATAGCAATTCCTGCAGCAACATTGCAGTTCCTAACTCAAATATTTTTAATTCCTTTTTTTCTCTAGATCATAAAACATTTGCAATGGCAATGCTCTGGAAATTCATGAGAGTAGCGAAGTATTCTAAAACAGCTTTATCATCAAAAGTAAAAGTAAGAGGAATTCCCACCCATTCAAGGCATTCTTCATCCAAGTCTGTACCTTCAGATTTTGCTGCAAGTTCACCCTGCTCAAATACTGTGGAACTGCTTGGTAAATCTTATCCTCAAGATGACTACAGCAATGTCACAGACAAGATTCTTTCCAAGGTGGGGAAGAACTTGCACAACAGAAAACATCACCCTTTGTGGCTAATCAAGGAGCAGGTGAAGGAGCACTTCTACAAACATTACCTAGGACGCCGCGGGACTCCACTCTTTTCTGTGTATGATGGTCTTTCTCCGGTGGTTACAGTCCAGCAGAATTTTGATAGTTTACTTATCCCACCAAACCATGCCAGCAGAAGGAAAGAGGATAACTATTACTTGAATCGAGACCACATGCTAAGAGCACATACATCAGCTCATCAGTGGGACTTGATACGCTCTGGCCTAGATGCTTTTCTGGCAGTGGGAGATGTCTACCGCCGAGACACGATTGACAACACCCACTACCCCGTCTTCCATCAGATGGAGGGAGTGCGCCTCTTCTCCTGCCATGAGGTATGAGTTCTCTAGCTGGGGTGAAAAACATTTTGGGTAAGTTGCTTGGTCTTGTGTTTGCTATAAGCAAACTTCATCCATGTAAACAAGGTTTGTGCAAGTAAGCATGTTACAGCCACAATGTTATGTTGCTCATTGATAGAGTTATTTATCATGTAGCAATATTTTTAATGTGTGAAAAATGTAGACAAAGTGTTGAATTTGAAAACAACTATAAAATTCCTGAGGAAAATGTGAAAAAATGGAAAGACAATATTATTGAAAGCTAGCAAAGTGAAACATAATCTGAAATTAAAAAACTTGTTCAGTTAATGATCTGCACAACTCAATTCTATTTTTGTCACAACTCTCTTCTGGTGAGATAGCTTTACCAAAGACTCTATCAAATTAATTCTTGAAGGACTCCTTGAATGTGAGTTGTTTCAGCTACTTCCAAAGTACAGTTTTCACTGTCGTCGTTTCTTTTTCTTTTAATAGTGCCAACTGGCTATAAATGAATGTCATTTTCTAAGGAATTCTTCATCTCATCCTAAAGCTGCACTGAAGAATTCGCCTGTTGCAGCCAGTAGTTATGTATGGGTGGTGCATACACAGCAAACCCATCAGAGTCCAGAGGCATCAGCTGAAAGCTCTAGGTTGATGTCCAGGACTTTTAAGTTTATGTGTTTTGTTGGCACAGCTTGCATGTTCTGCAAATGCCTGGGTGTCATTAAGTACTCTGCTGCATCATTGATCAGCGGTAAATATAAGCCAGGTTGTTTTCCAAATAGTAATTGATTTGTATAATTTGTGTATGCTTGTAGTAATACTGCCAAATTCACAGTTCTATAACTAAAACTCGCTTATTCTAATAATACTGAGATGTAGACCATTCTTAACATGCTTGCCAACGGGTGACAGGAGCTTGGCAGAGAAGCCTGGTGCCTTTGGATGCCTGAGGGAAAGCTAAGGTAATCATAGAGCACAGCTTTTCTCTGTGATGGAAGGGGCTTGTGCTGCCTGCGCTGCGCTTTGCCACCCTGTGCGGCTGCCACTTGTTCCATTGCAAACTCATGCCTGCCTCTGCAGGTGTCCTGAGAGCTGTGTGGTGCTGAACCCAGCCTGCAGCTGCTTCTTTGGTAACCACAAACTGGAAATATTGCAGACTTACCCAGCCTCGTTTGCTTGCTGTTCTTTTTCCATAGACCTATTTATGAATATAGTCAGGCTATATGGTGCACAATACTATATTAAAAAATTCCATTTTTTAACCATTTTGGTTCTTCATAACGTTTTTTTCACTTGTGCAGAAGCTCAGTCATCCAGCTGGAAATATTTTACTTGCCACAAAATTATAACAGCAACATTATTGCGGGATGGAATTTCTGCAACCTTGGATGTGATTGTTCTAATCATTGAACTACTTGTTTATGAATATTCCCCTTCAGAAATTTTGGTCCTTCAGAAATAGTCCTAGACTATGTCTTTCTACTCTAAACATTTAATAATAGGATATGAATAACTGGGAACAGATGTTATATAAATAACATATATATATATATATATATATATATATATATATATATATATATGTAAAAAAATAATGTTTTCACTGACATGTTGTATCTAAAAACATACAGTGTGAAACAGTCTAATTCATTCTCTCCTTTCTTTTTCCCCAAGAAAATGATTGAGATGTTGTTGGAGAGCTCTCTGTACTGATGAAGAAAGAATAGCAGTGTGGTGTATGACATGTTGTGTTGTTTATTGGACAACATAAAAAATTATAAACCTGAGCATGATCTGATGCGTCCTTTTTTGCTTCAGTTTGTGTTTCCATATATACCCCTTTTTATTGTCATAATCACAAGAGCCTTGTGGAAAAAAATTAATGTGTGATTCTCAGATTTCATTGGGGATTGTTTCTGTGTTTTGTATTCTGATTGCCTGTTCAGAATAATCCACATTTGTAATTCCAGAAGGAACTGTTTGAGTGGAACAAAGACTAAATAGAGGTAATACTACATGAGAGAAATACTCTGATATTCATTTATTTATACTCAGGTTTAAGCTGTAACCCACGGAGCAGAAACGTGTTACTGTCAGGCCCTGTTACCCTTGTCTCAAGCTTTTCATTCCTAATCAGGCTTCAGTCTCTGGTGAGAGGAAATTTGCACAAGTACCAAGGATCAGAATCTTTGGAACCAAGGGAAAAACTGTTACCTCTTACCTACAATCCATAGCATGTATTACTGTATTGGCCATAACATGAAATGTACCTTGTAGAGCTACAAGCTACATTTCATGTTATGGCCAATACAGTAATTTTATGTGCTGTTGTCAGTTGGCTGCTCTAACTTGTTCTTTTGCTTTTTACATTTGTCATTTACTGTTTTCTCATAGTAAATGACCACAGACCTAAGAAGATGTCGGAAGAAAAACAAAAGCCTAGAGTGATTTTATAAGGACATGAACTTAGAGGAATTTGATGCTTGATCTCAGTTTATAAAGTGTGGGTGAAAAGTCAATTTGTCTTCAGTTGAAATTTTAGGCAGGATACAAAAGATGTAGATGTACAAAGGTGACTTTCCATTACAATTACTTAATTCTGTAGTCATGACCAGGTTAAAAGTCCTGTCCTGTGATGAAAGCCTTCAGCATCATTCTTTATATCAAAGTTAAAGTCAGTATGTTGAAGTAAGATCTGGAAAAACAAATTAAGTCTGTCAATTTTACAGTATTTTTTTTCTGATATACTTGTGAGCCATTTGCTTTTTTGGCTATATGTTTTTTTCATGATGGTTGGTTGATTACTTTTTAAAAAGAGAAGTAATCTATAATTCAAAGATGGGCAGGTAACTGATGCATTTCTGCAGCTTAGTATGAGTGTAAATATTAAACTACTAAAGAAATTCCTATCTCCCAAATGACCTCATTGCTAAAAGTTAGAATAATTCATGCTTAAATTTCTCATGAACTTTTAAAAAATATCTTTGGACTGCTATCAAAGAACATCTGAAAATACATTTAGACATGTTTTCAATATATTTAGAAGTATTTTAGGTGATTATTTTCTGAATGTAATAGAAGTACTGTTAGAAACTGACTAATATAAATAGTTAAAACCAAAAAGAGCTTCCCAAATCTACTTCAGAATTCTGAACATAAAATGAGATGTTTTTCTTAAACAGTACCCCCAAATGATATCCTTTTGTATTCACTTCCTCCATCATTCCTGTTTTTCTTCTAATTGGTGATTGCATTTTTTTTTTTCTTCTGTGCTGTATGGCTTTTTTTTCCTTTTGGTTAGTACTTTGGAAGGGCAATTTTGGTACTGCTGTAGTGAGATTTGAACAGGCCAGTTTTCCTGGGTGGATTATGAGAGAAATTATTTCTGTGCTATGCCATTGCCTTTGGTGTAGTTCTGTAATTTATGGGAGAAATTAAAAAATCTCAACTCTGTTGCACTTTGAGCATGTCAGCCAGAAGAGGGAGCCAATATAAACCCAATGACAGTCAATGAACAGCTTTCAGTTGTTAACAAAAAATATTTACACATTTGAAGGAGACTTCATACTGTATTTTATATCCTATACTGAATTACACATAAATTTTAAGGGGAACAGATGCTAAAACACAGGAATTGCTCCTTTAATTTAGTAACCTTGTTCCAGTGGAGGCCAATACAAGGTTGTTTAGATGAAAAAATTATGCTCTCATCAGGCTTGTTTGTGCTAGAAGTGTTAAGGATACATCTTCATTCTCTGTTGAAATGCTTATGGTGGAAATGGAAACTTTTGTTAGGATGCAATGGAAAAAAGGTAAATAGTCTAGTTACAGATAAAGGATTGCTCCTCTGAAACAGTATATATAATTTTTTAAAAAGTCAGTATTGTAGATTCTAGTGTTTCTATCCTGAAATGTAAAGACTCTTGTTCTAGGTGATAAAAAATTAGTAGATTTTTTTTTCTCTTTTTCATCTAAATACATACTCCTCTCCTCATCTTCCCATACTTCAGTACCTTGGCAATTTTCCTGGTGTATTGTTAAAAAGATGTTACTTTTATCTTTTCTCTTGTGGTTTGGGATGATTTGAACTCCTGACTGACCACACATCTGCAGTTTTGGGGTTTTTTTTAATCAAGTGCCATGCTGGGTTTCCCCTTGGAAAACTTGTGTCTTTAGGTTTGACTTCTCCAAAATTCTGTATGTTACTGCAGCTTTGGATACTGTGCTTTTGCTCTGACATCGTATCAAAGAAAAGCTCCTTCCTGTCTTCAAGTCCCTTTTTTTAAATCCTCATATGTAAAGGAATTTAAATCAATTTATAGTGTTCCAGGGATCAACCTATTTTATGGAGTGATTTGGAGCTTTTACAGCTTGTCTGGGAGCACTTGTGAGAGGGAGTCATAATAGCAGTGTTTAGCTGGGCACCAAGGAACAAATATTTTAAAAGGCTTAAATGACTAAGGAAAGGAACCCTTCTAAGCCTTCTACAACTTATGGATAGGGTTGTGAGCAAAGCATGGCTCCCAAGGAGCCTGAGAGCTGTCCCTCTTTCTCCCAGGGAGCAGCGAGGCTGGTACAGGAGCAGAGGCACTTGAGCTAGATCCACCTTGGTAAAAAAAAGAGCAGCGGCATTACTTTGCTAGAATATTCTGAGGTGAATTTATTCCAGAAGCTGCAGTTGAACTGAGTAGTCACAATGAAGAGCCTGGCTAGTTTAGATGGAACGGATTTCTCTTTCTCCGGTATTAATCCAAGTTGTGAACATTGTATTATTCAGTATTTTCCAAGTTGTGCTGTATAAATCATGCCATAATAAATAGATCTTCACTGATCCGAGGATCCAGATTGTATTCTTTATTTTTAGTCAAAAATTTGACAGTGGAGGGCATCAGAAGGTCTGTTAGATTTTCATAGTGATCCATGGTCTAGGAAGTTTGAAAATGAATGGTGCATCTTTTACTGCAAAGGCTTCACATTTTTTTCAGACTTTTCTTTTTGTTGTCCAGCTAAAAAAACAAACCAACAAAGCTTTTCAGAATAAAGCTTTTAAATCTATTCAATGCAATATTTAAATTGTGCTGGAAAAGAAAAAAGAGCAAAGTGTCAAAGAGTGTATTTGGGAAGTCCAAGGTACTTAAAAGTCAAGGAATTTCTACTGCTACAGAAACAAAAGTCTATGATAGGTGTATCATTATTTCAGGTATCTGTGTAGCAGTGTTATTTTTCTTTCTGGTTTGAAAACATCTCTATTGTTTTGCCTTTTCTTACAGAAACACTTTGATTAGGTTAAAAAAACAAAACAAAAAAAACCCAAAAAGCCAGCCCTCCACCCCCCAAAAAACAACACAGGTTACCTTTCATAGCTGTAATTGGAGAACTAGAATGGAAGGATGTAGAAATTAGGGTGACCACCTTCAAGCTTGTGGATTGAAGTAATTTTTGCCATTTTCTGCCCCAAAGATCCTTATTGATGTGCAGTCAAGAGCCTTCTGTCATGTGGATCATGGGCTGTGTATCTCTTTCGTACCTGAAGCTGGCTGCATCAGGGTGTATACACCTTGGGGGCTGACTGCTACTGAAATTACGTTTTCTCTTTGAACCATCAATTGGTGGCATTGTCTTCATCATTTCTGATGCACTGGTTGAGTATTGAGTTCCGCAGCACATTAAAATGTTGTGGAAAGGTTTTGCTATTTGTAAGTGGATTCATAATGCAGCTGTTGGTTCATTTTTAGAGATTTATTTGGGGCAGTGAGACAAAATGCATTTGGTGTGGCAAGGTTGAGTGTAGTCATGTGCAGATCCTCATACAGAGATAATTTTAAATGCTGGTTTGCCTGAGAGTATAAGTACATGAGCATGATTTATTCATTATCTAAATCACTGGTGTATGCATGAGTGGCAGGAGGGATACACAACTGCATTGTGGGAAGACAGGATGCAGTTGCAGATCTCTCTGATTGGAAACTTACTATGAATGCCATCCAGCAAAGAGGCACTTAATTTTGAATACTAAACATATGGATAATGAAGGGATGTGAGATAAGAAGTCTGTTAAGTGATTGAGGAAATGTTGGGGTCTTTGTTTAAATCACAAATGTGACTTCTACCAGGCTGAGAAATGCTGGAATGTGCTTTTGAAGGATGGTAGCTCTGTTTGTACTTGTCCAGTTAAAACTCTGTCTTCTTGCCATTACATGTAATCAAATTTTAGTTTCTTTTTAATTTTATTTTTATTATGAGCTAAACTGTGAATAAACTTCATGTCACATGGTTAGGTCACTTCAATTCTTTTCTGCCTTCTTCTTTGTAATGCAGCATCAGTCAGATATTCTGATAAATCCTGGTAAGTGTTAATTTTTGGCTTTTTAATAGTGATCCAATATTCAGTGTTTTGCACACCTTCACTCAAAGAAAAATCTTGTTGTCCTTACAGGTACCTACAGACATGTAGGTACTTGATTTATGGCTACAGGAAATTTCTTTCTTGCATGTAGTAGTGACTGATTGTATTCAATACAATAAGATAGTGCATGTTGTCTTAGTCTGCACTGAAGGAATGAATGTACGTGAAAATGTTGTCTTGGATGTGTCAGTGTTTTATGCAAGATGTTAGGCATTTTTTTTTCTCCATTTTCTCAGATATGTGCTTGAGAAAAATAGACATCAAAAAGGAGCGAATGTAGGTGGTTCTTCATTTTCTTCAAGCTTTGACTTTCCTGGCTTTATGTATACAGAAATGTTGAACTGTTTCTAATCCAAGACATGTACTTAGCACAGTTCAGTCATTGTAGTAGTGAAATTGGTGTATCGGATTAAAGCTGCTGTATTGACATAGCAATGTTGGGGAATGGGAAGTCAGGAATAAATATTAATACAACTGTAAGGTGTCTCTTTCTTTCCTTGGTATAATCCCATCTGCAGCTGATGGAGCCTCTATGGAGAATACCCTAAAGTGCCTCTCAGTGCCTGACTGTAAAGGGGGAGCTGTTGTCTTCCCTGCTTATGGGACTTCCCTATGGCTGTACTTTCAGAGCCTGTCTGAACTGGACTAGTCATGCCTGTGCCCAAAGTGACCCAGCCCTGTTCATGTGCCAGCTCATCTCTTGGAGCTGCTAGTATGCTGATATTTGGTGACTAACACCATTTACACATAGCTCAGTTTCTTCCCTTCTCCTGAGTTACTGCCCATCCATCTCCCTGCCTGGCTCAGTACACTGCTGCATGGACCCTTGTCCTGGCTTGGAGAAGGAGCCTATGACTTGGAGGCACTTGGAGATGGTGCCTATGACTGGTTTGGCAGGATTAGGGCTCAGGCAGGTGACAGGGCTGCATTATAATTCAATGTATTTAATGGTTCTTGCACGTATTTTGTTTCCACATCCAATATAAATTGCTGAAATAGAATTTTGCTTTAGACTGTAATTGTGACATCAACATTTCAGAAATAATACAATAGTAAGCAAAAGTATTTTTATGTACTCGTTGATATGTATGCTGTGTTTTGAAGGCTTGTGTCCAGTGTCTGTTCTTTGCAGTGGCCTGAGGAGCCAGTCTTAAGCAGAAGGGAAAAGGAGGAAGAGAGTTTCAGGTCCTAAAATACTGCTGATAGGTAAAATAACAAATGTACCTTCTAGTGTATAAATACAGTGTATTTTGGTCAAAAGAGGGAGCATCTCTGTTGCCTGAAGGGTGTTTCAGGTTTCGTGAGTGAGTCAGTCAATAGAAAAAATAGCTACCTGTGTAGGGTTGTTCAGAGCAGGAACCAATTTAGCCACTCTGTGTTCCTGTGTGAGGGAGCCTGTGTCTCTCCACTGGCTACCCAGTGAGCCTAAGACAATTATCCTCCCTAGGCTAATGCTGGCCTCTCTGAGCTCCCCTGCCTTTCAAAACCACATGCTGGGTGACCAGTCTGCCTTGCTGACAGCAAATTAGTTGTAGGATGAGTATTATCTTCTTGTTCCAGTCAAGATAGGATTAATGTCAGTAAGAAGAAGGGGGTTTAATCTTTCAGATGAGCGCTTGAATAAAGAATCTGTTATTTAAAAGTGTGATACTTTCTTTGTCAAGCTGCTGCCTTTTGGTTACTAAAGGCATTTTAGTTAGACTGGTGGAGAATAGTTTTATTTGGAATTTATACATTTCCTTTTTAATTTAGCATTTTCTGCAGCACACTAAGGAGATTAAGAGAAGAAATGTTTTCTAAATCTGCCAGCAATCTCCTTGTGGCTAGCAATAAAAAGTTAAATGCTACTGGATTTTCCCTTTTTTTTTATATTTCTTCAATCTACCGTGGTGCTAGTTTGCCTGCCATCTAAACTCAGACTCTTCATTTGTTGTGCCTGTACTGAAGGAAATTTGCTAGAAACTGGTTCTAATTAATTGTTAGCATTGGTGGAATACCAGAGACTCACTTGAACTTTTTGTTTAGTGCTCTGTAGGCATCAAACTGCAGTTAAAACAACTTCTGTGGGCATCCATGAGTTGTTAAGGTTGCACACTATTCGTGGCATCTCCTGAGTAAGAGCTATTTATGTTGGGAGGCTTAATGGAAAGAAAATCTCAGTGCGTGTTTTTTCCCTCTGTGTGTGCTGGATTGACTAGGGGAAGGTAGAGGAGGAGGAGTAGGAAAGAACCCTCAAGACTTCACCCCAGATATGGGGGTTTTGTACAGCTGTAAGGATTTCCAACAAAAATATTCTTTAGATTGTAAAACTGTCTACTTTTCTCCCTAAGACACAGAGCCTCCAACAATGTTGTGTAATGAATGTGTTTTATTATAGGTCTCTCTGAAAGGATATAGATTTGCTGGTATGTATCTGGCCAGGATCACCTGGCCAGAAATATATGGGGATATGCAGAAAACAGAAATCTTCAACTTGCAGCAGATGTGGTGGGGAGCAGTGTCTGAATGAAGAGCAAGTCTGCCACATTCCAAAACAGCTGTCCCTGTGCTTCATAACCCCCACCTGAGATCATGAATCCTTAAATGTCCCATAGACAAAATTCTTGTTCAGAAAAAGGATGCTTTGTGTGGGAATATACAGCAAAATGGTAGTCCTTAAATGAATATAAACTTGTACCCAGGATGAATCAACAGTAAACAGCTTAAGTCTCATAAACTGCCAGGGTTTGTTTTGGGTTTGTGGTTTTTAATTTGGCTTTTTTTTTGTGTGGTTTTTTTTTTTTTTGTGTTTTTTTTTTTTTTTTTTTTTGTTTTTTTTTTTTTTTTTTTTTTTGTTTGTTTCTGGTTTTTTTGTTTGTGGGGTTTTTTTGGTTGGTTTGGATTTTTCTTGGTTCTGTGTTTCTGGGTTTTTTTTTTGTTTTGTTTTTCTCTTTTTAATTGTTTTTGTATTTCTTTTACATCATTCAAGTACTAAAAGAGTTGAAGTTCTGATAAATGCCATTGTGTTCATTGTGTTTTGTAGTTTTTGTGGTGTAATTTACATACACTGTACAGAGTACTTTGTTCTGCACAATAACTTTCAAAGTAACTGAATCGGAAAAAAAAAAGATGGTTATTTTGTAAATTATTCTTTTCCTATAGCTAATCATATTATTTGATGATAGAAGTAAACCAGATTTAATTACTTGAGCATTTTTGTTCTTACAGAGATTTATCTCTGCATTTAGTGAATAGAATTTGTATAGTCATAGTCTTTGTTTATTTTTCACAGTGCCGACTTAGCAGGTAAGATTCCCACTTAAATTAACAAAACTTCATTCTCTATTTTTGTTCCAGAGGTCACTGATGCAAAACGCGGTGTTTTTGTGGTTTTGTTCTAGTTGTTCTCCAGCATTAAAGATGGTGAAGGTTTACAGCTGTTTGAGCAAGGCCATCGCACTGCACACAAGCAGGAGTGTCACACCATGGAGGCAGTGAGGCTGGTGGAGTTCAACCTGAAGCAAGTGCTCACAAAGCTCATGACTCACATCTTTGGTGATGGTAGGTTCTTGCACCTTTTCCCCCAGACTGCTCATGGCTATAGTCACTTGGGCTTTTGAGAAACATTTTGCTGCAGAACACGGAGAGGAAGGGGTTGTGCTGGCAGCTGGTAATGTAGAAACAGCCAGATGGGTTTTTCTGGTTTTCCTAAATAGTGGTGCACACAACACTGCGTTGACTCAGCAGGTTTTTGTGACAATGTTTAGGTGTGCAGCGTGTCAGAGTAACGTAGTGAGCACGGATGCAGTTGGGGACATGTGGAGACCCAGCTGCAAGCAGTGGTCTGGCAGAAGCTGTGTGCCAAAAGCCTGTCAGTGTGGGTCCGGTGAGGAGGGGCAACTCCAGCTGCAGCACAAAGCTCTGCAGGACCCCCTCTGCTTCATCCTCCCATGTCCCTGGAGGGCTGGAGCGTGGATGCAGCATTGCATCTGGGGTGCATGAGAGCTTGAGTGCAGCTGGGCAGTGTTCAGATCCTGCACCAGCAGCGTGGGGATGGGCAGGAGCAGGGAAGGGGTGTGTGTGTCCATGTGCTGCATCCCTTGTGCAGATAAATTAAACCTTCCAGCTGTGGGCAGACCATGTTTGCTAAGTTCACATCAAGCTGAACAGTCATTGTTTTCTGGTGCTTACAGTGGAATGGGGAAGGGTAATGGATGTGTATATGAATGAAGTATTCTCTCCTCAGAAGTATCTGCTTTTAGTTTCAGGAACTGAATTTATAAATGGCCTGAGTCAAAATTGCTGCATTAATGCAATTTCTTGGCAAGGAAGCTTCTCTTCGGAGCTTATTCATTTTTTTTTGTTGAGGAAATACTGGATGGTATTAGAATGCATGAGGTATCTTGCCTACTTTTTAAGGTCTTTTAAGATGTTTACTTCACTTAGAGCAGTAGTTCCAAGGGTGGATTGATAATGATACCATGTTCTATATATGACTGCTTGAATATTTTTCTGAATTTCTTAAGTTGACTTACAGCATGCAAAATTTCTACCAGTTATTGTTCTATTCCACCTGAACAAAAATCTTAAAGTTCCTCAGCTCAGAGCTTCTTACAGGTTATTTTACTTAACAGTGACCTTTTGAAACATACAAAATTGGGATGAAAGTGAGTAAGAATGATACATTTAGATCAACCTCAGATGCTGAGGATGTTTAAAGTGAGCAATTTCTTGGAGTTATTAGTGGTATCTCAGACTGCAGTGACATTCTTCTCTAAGTGTTGACAGATACTGTACTTTAGGCCTCAGCATGTTGGCTATTACTAGTTCTTATACAGTCCACCCAGTAGCTAAAAAGACATTAAAATATATTCATAAATTATTTTAAATGTACAGCTAAAGGTAGATGCCACCTTCTTACTGTTGAGGTTTTCTATTTCTATACCCTCAACATTTTTCCTGGAATACAAACATAAGATATAGTTATTTAATTAAATTTATTATGATTTTAAATTTAAATTTATGTATGTGTACATATATGTGTATTTCAACCCCCTGCCCCATTCATGGGAGTACAGGAATTCAAAGCATTCAAAGTTCATGTTAGGCACAAGGTGAGATTGGTGTACTGCAACTGTCTTGGGGCACATGTAGATAAATTTGTCTTTTGATAGCTGACATCTTTTAACTAGCATTTTACTCTTTACATGGTACTATTGATTATGTTTTGCATCTTGACTCTTATAAATTTTAACTTAATATTTAAAATGTGTTTGTGTGTTACTCTTGAAAAATTTGTTTTTCTTATATGTTGATATTTCATAAGGCACCATGTTAGGTTAAAAGCAAAATTTTTATTCCTTTATTTTTGACATAAGCTGTATTCTTTACACCCTGTGCTGAGAGCAGAATACTGTAGTGAAGTTGCTCATCTTTTCTAGCAGGATGGCATGACCACAGCTGCAGTAAGTGACTGAAATGTTGCATTGTCATACAGTCAACTGTTTTTTATAGGCAGATTGTTTGGATTGTAGATTAAGTCTGCTGTACATGTTAGTTTTGCATAGACTAGTTTGTACCTGAAGTCCTGGACTTGAAAGCTGTGCTTCTGCAGTGCTTGTCTGAGAATTTACTAGCTTAGGTTGATGATAGACTGAGGATCTCTGCAGGAAGGTCATACCACTGACTTGCCTTTTTTTTTTTTTTTTTTTTTTTTTTTTTTTTTTGCACTGTTTTATGTTAGTTTCCATAAAACTTAATGAGACAGTTGGGCTCTACCTGGCTCCTACCATGCTATTTGAACAAGTCAGTGTTGACAAAACCAAGTTGTTTAGAAATCACTGTGTAGTCCTGAGGAAGCTCAAAGACTTCATAGAATCTGCACTTACCCTTATTACAAAAGTTTGTCTTCTTATGTCTTTCTGGCTTTGCCAGCAGACAAAGGAATGACGTAGAGGAGCGAGTAATTTCTGGAGTATCCAATCAGTTGCCTTAAAACCTTGACAATGTAAAGTTGTTCTTCTTATGGTATTTTCTGATGCTTTGACATGCCTGATCTTTAAATTCTATGGGTAACTGTCTTTCAGTTTCTTCCATTTTTCTGTCAGGAAGCTATTTCAAATACTACACCTAGACATCATCCTTCTTAGTTTTCCTCTGTTACTTCCATAAGGTGCACACTTAAAATCCACTAATTAAAGTTACACATCCATCTCCCCATAAAGTTCTGCCAGTGTAGGTAGTCTGTTAGTTCTCATTTCAGTTACCTAGTAACAAGGCTGTCCAAGACTTCATCATAAAGTTAGCCAGTCTTTTTCAACTGTGGTTCTTTTTCTAACCCCTCTGTAGTTTGCAAAAAGCTTTCTTCCCCCTGAGAGATTCAGAAGTAATCTTACTGTAGCAAATAGAAAATAATGACTGTATGCTGGTTCTGTGATCTGTTGCTTTACATGAAATGGCTCAAAATTCACTGGTATCCCATATTTATCTACCCAGTTCTTAGGCAGTAGTAAGGGAAGGCAGGGGAGTGAGTAATGCTGTGCTTTGATTGATGGCTTTGCCACTGCTGGTTCTCACTGAACTGCCACTGGATATCTTTTAAATCAAACATGTTCTGCTCATTCTCCTTCTTAATTCTGTTTTACTGATACCTCCTTTGAGTGCATGGAGATCTATGAGTGTAGTGAGTTAAAAAAAATTATAAAGGACATAATGGTCTGGCTAATAACTTCTGAAAAATGTTTATATGGAAAGCCAGCTCCTGCTGCAAGTATGATGAATTATCTGAAAAAACAAGGTGCAGAGTACTTACAAATCGACACACATCTCAAGAGGCCCCAGTTCAATACCTTCTGTGCTTTCCAGCACCTTTCTTGCACCTTTCTCCTTTTTCTTCTATAACCTTGTCTCTAAAAATAATGCTCACAGCAACAAAGAGAATTTCTGGTCAGTGAAGACCATCTGGGTCTCAGGCTTTGTTGCTTCTGTGCTATAGTGTATTAAAAGGCTGCTTTAATGTGTTTGGTTTGTTCTTTTTTTCTTTTCTTTCTTTTTCAGTGCCTTTGGTCAAGCCTTTTTCATTATGAGACTCAATTAGGCTAGCACTTGTTTAGCTTAATATCTAACACCATTACTTTTGAGTGCAGGCTACAACCAATTCCTTACCTGGATTCAGTGTTTAGAAATAACAGTAATTATTCACTATTTCCATACTGATCTGACATACAAGTTACTGTATTGGGTTTGCATGGCAAGGTTTTGGTGGCAGAGAAGCTGCAGGGGTGGCTTCTGTGAGGAGCTGCTGGATGTTTGCTCCATGTCATGACAGAGGCAGTGCCAGCCAGCCCCAAGATGGACCCACTGCTGGCCAAAGCTGAGCCCATCAGTGATGGTAGTAGCACCTCTGGGATAACACAGTTTGAAAGGGAGAAGAAAAAATCCTGCACAGTTTGCAGCCAGGGAGAAGAATGAGAACATGTGTGAGAAACAGCCCTTCAGATACTTTTGCTGAGACACAAGGTCAGTGGAGAAGGAGGGAGAAGAGGTGTTCCAGGTACCTGAGCTGAGATTCCCCTGCAGCCCAGGATGCAGACCATGGTGAAGCAGCTGTGTTCCTCCAGCCCATGGAGATAAAGAGGTCCACCTGCAGCCCATGGAGGGTCCCATGCTGGAGCAGGTAGATTCCCAAAGAAGGCTGTGACCCTGTTGGAAACCTGTACTAGAGCAGGCTTCTGGCAGGACCTGTGGCCCTGTGGAGAGATCCATGCTGGAGCAGGAGGTTCCTGAAGGACTGCATGCTGTGGAAGGGACTCACGCTGGTGCAGTTAATGAAGGACTGTCTTCGGTGGGCATGACTACACCCTGGAGCAGGGGGAAGAGTGGCAGAGAAAATGAGGGATGTGCTGACCACAGTCCCCAGTCCCCATTGCCCCTGCTGGTGAGGAGGAGGTAGAGATTTTGGGAGTGGAGTTGAGTCTGGAAGTAGGGAGGGTTTGGGGAAATAGTTTTCAAGGTTTAGTTTTTATTTCCCATTATTCTACTCTGATTTGATTGGTAATAAATTAAGTGACTTTCTCCAAGTCAAATCTATTTTGCTCATGACTGTAATTGCTGAGTGATCTCTTCCTGCCATTATCTTGACCCACGAGCCTTTCATTAAATTTTCTACCCCTGGTCCAGTTGAGGAGAAGAGTGGTAGAGCAGCTTTGGTGGGAACCTGGTGTTCAGCCAGCATCAGCCCAGCACAATTATGAATGGACCTCTACCCCCTTGAGGGACTCAAATGAACACTGTGAGGCTCTGAAATGAGCAGGTGTTTTTGTGTCTGATAACACAAATAATTTCTTTGAAGCGGAACAGTTATGGAGTTTGTGTCTAGTGGTCAGGCCTTGATTAGATTCAGCGGTGTGCTCTTGTAAGTGCCTGTTTCAAGCCAGATATGTGTCTTTTGGCCTCCTAAAATTTCTAGAGGTCAATTTTGCCAGTATTTCATAGGCTGTATGTGAAGATATAAACTAGGCCAAATCAGGAAAATTATATAGTACTACAGGAAGCCTAATCATCATAATCCTTTAAAGTCCTTAGTGGTTTAATTTGCTGAGTGTAAGTAATGCCCTTTACTCCTTGGGAATATATTGAGCACCAAGACAATATTTTGTATCTAAATAATAAATGTACCCATTTGTTCTGTGCACTCTATAGAAATGCAGTTAATATTGCCAAAGGCTGAGCACCCTCTGCTTTTCAGTAAAGTCTTATAGAGCCAAAAGTCTGAAAGAACACTTGAATGTAAACTACACAAATATGAAAGAGGTATTCCCAAATGGCCTGGACACTGTATGAATAAAATTATTGTTCTATGTGGGATTAACTATTAACTTAAAGAACAGAATGAAGGTGCAAGTTGTTTCTTCATTGTGAATTTGTTTTGGTTTATTCAGAATGTTGTTTGTTTCCTTATTTGCATTTAAACCAGAAGCCTTGTAAGTACTAAAATGCATTAAAATTAAAAAATAAAAAGAGCTTTAGATTCTTTTTTTACCCTTAAAAATTTATTTTAATTAAGAACAAACAGCTGAGAAATCCTTTTTTTGCACAAAGCTTCATTTTTTAAGTAATCAGAGGATTAATAAGAAACCATTATCTGGATGTTGTTACTGAACGCAAACTAGTTGAATATTCAATGTAGTTGCTACAGTTGCAAATTCTGCAAGCTAAATGAGAATATTTTATATGTGCACAGCCCAAAGATTAAAAATGCCAAGATCAGGAAATTAAAAAAACATTTTCTGCACATTATATTATTGTATGCACGACTCTTTTAATCTATGTATTTTTTGTCGTGCAGACAAAAAGGAGTAGTAAAATGATTGCTGTAAGTCACACTACAATTGTGAGTGAAACTATTGTAAATACTTTTCTGTGTTCTGTATATACAATTATCAAAAAGCTTTTCCATTACTCATATACTTTCCTGAGACTGGTTTTTAAGAAAGTAGAGAAAATCTAGAAGTGCCAGTCTGTCTGTTTTGAAACTTGCTTTGCCATTTGAAATTTCATAGCATCTAGAAAAGTTCCCTGTGACTGTTAGGAGATATTTTATGTTTTGGCCATGCATGTACATCTTTGTTGTAATTTTTTGTTTCAGTTTCTGTAGCCACATTTCGTGCTTCAGAAGTAATCAATGAAGATTTAATTCTTGAAGCTACTTTAAATATTTTTAGTTGAAAAACTTTTAGTATGAATCATACAATTTCATATTTTACACTTCTCTTATGAAACAACCCCAAAAAAACCTGAAGATCAACCCACAAATGTTAACAGTTGCTGTCACTCACACTACCTTTGCCTTTGAAAAACAAGGTTCAGCTCCTTTTTTTGAAGCTGGACCTGCCTGGTTCTTAATGATCCTAATTCTTATTAGCATTTAGCTTAACTGAAAAGAAGATGTATTTGGGGTTAAGGCATTAGCTTAGCTTACAGAATTTGTGTTTCAGTTCTCTATCAAGTTTTTATGGTTCATGTTTCTGAGACTTCTTTCCTGACACCTAATGGCTAGAAGAAAAATTTTAGTGAAACAAAGCATCTGTAAATCATTAGAAGAACTAAAACTCTTCAAATATAATGAGTGCTTTGACAGGTGCTTTTGGCAGCACTGAAGACCTCGGGAAGGAAGACCTTGTCCTCTTCTGGCTGCACTGCTCTGAGATGCCAGAGCTTTCCTTGCTCTGCTCAGTGGTATCTGCAGAGGTGCTGAGCTCTGGGGAGGATGGTGGGGAATTGCCAAGTGGGGCTTTTCCCTTACACTTATCTACCAGGTCCAGAAATGCTCTGTGTGTATGTTGCATACCTTAATAATGTACAACTCTGTAAAAATATATTTCTACTTGTGTATAATGATATCTATTTTTAACTTTCATTTTTAAACGTATACAGAGAGAATAGCTGTGTATTTTAATTAAGTTTTGATGAAAAAAATTACTTGCCTAGATGATCCATAAAATACTAAGAAAAAATTAAAGACTTAGCTAGCTTTTCCTGTGAGAAGTAGTTAGTCATTTCCTGGTGCAAAGAATAACAAAATCACTGACTTTCCTATTATCTTGGCTCATTTTTGTTTGATGCCAGGTGGTTGCTAGAGTTTGACAAATGATTGATTTGGTTTCAAAGGGTGCTTGAATTGCACAAAGCATTTTTCATATTAGAAAAGACATGGTCATTTTTTTTCCCCAGGTTTTAAGATTTATTGCCTTGCACAAGTGTTGTAAATTAGTTTGTTTGCTATTTATTTTCTCTGGATTGCTGTAATTCATGTCATTAGTTGAAGGGCAAATTTTACAGATGGTTGGAGGGATGGCCTTTTAAGCATACACCCTTTCATATTTATTTATTTTTTAAACACTGCTACAGGACTGCAAGTCAGATGGGTAGATTGCTACTTCCCATTTACTCACCCTTCCTTTGAGATGGAGATCAACTTCCAAGGAGAATGGATGGAGGTCCTGGGCTGTGGGGTCATGGAGCAGCAGCTTGTTAACTCAGGTACTGAAACTCCTTTACTTCATTGACATCTCTGTTAGCAAGCACTTCCAGCATGATCAGCTTCACAGCCTGGAATGCCCCTTCTACCCTGGTGAGCTCAGGCATCTCTGCCTGGCAGCTGCCACAAAAACTCCTCAGGTGGAATGCAGCCCTCACATGCTGTGATTTGAGGGTAGCAACTGAGCAAGTGATCTGAAGCCTGCAAACAGAAGGCTTGCCTTTTGTTGTGTGCAGTAAGGAGAAAGAGGGATGTCAGCTTTAAAAGAGAACCTGCAAGTTAGGGTATTCAGAGTTTTTTTTCTTTCCCAAGAGATGTCAAGTGCATTCTTAGTAATGACTTAAAAGTATCAATAGCAAATAACGTCCCTAAATATTTGGAATATCAAAATGCTCCTCTGTATCCAAAGCATAGAAAGAGGAATGTGATATCTTTCATATTGCTGTTTGGTCACTGGGTAAATGGTGGGTAGTTTTTTTCTTTTATTGCTTTTCTCCTCAAGTTGGCTATTTATGAGGTTGTAAGTTGCATTAAAAGCAAAATAATTTATTTTAATAGAAATTATTATAGGGTAATGTCACCTGACCATTTTGCTTTCTAAAACTGACACAGAAGGAAGGAAAGGAGAAATTAGTGGACATTTTCTAAATACTTTTTATCTGGAGAATTTTGCATGCTTGCTTTTTTGTTTACTGAGGATAGGGAATTATTAGGAAGCACAGGACAGTGTACATGTACACAGTTTTGTTCAGTGTCTTCCAGTACTATTTATTAGGTATGTGAGCCTTTTGGAATATGATCTGTGTAATTCCAGCAAGTGGGCTTTCAGATAACCAACGAAACAGTCAGTTGGTTTTTTTTTTTCCCATTGGTTTGCTAAGGTGTTTTTGTGTTTTCATGTGCTCTAAATTCTTCCTGTTGAAGACCAAGTATGATAAGTATGAATTACTTAATTTTGGCACCATTTACTTGGCACAGCTTGTTTTCCTCAAAGTTTGCTTGCATTTTAATGTGATCATTTTCCTTTTAGAAAGATATCCTCTTCCAGAGTTTCCCCACAATGAATTAATGATTTATGCTAATGTTCTCTCAGGTTATTATCTTTGTAGTGTGGTAAATGCAATACAGCTTCTAATCAGTCTCGGAAGTGAAAGCCTGCTGTGTAATATTGTTTCCATTTGATGTAACACACCAATGTCCAGGATTTTTGCTTTAAAAGCTTTTATGTTGCTCAACTCTTATGATTAGGATCCTCTAATGGGTGTGAAAAGAGCTAAACTGTGTCCCTAAACAATTACTGTATACATTTGTGTGTGTGTGAATGGATGTACATGAAACACCAGAGGTTTCTGTAGCACTTTTTTTTTTTTTTTGCAGTGTTCTTATGCGTGGGCTTCCATAACACTTTCTCACCCTTGAGATTTCACATATTTAAAATGTTAAACCAGATCAGGATTTTCCAAGGGAGAACAGCCAGTCTAATTTTTAGTCATTCACTGGGGAATGGATCTAGTCTTCTGGACCATTCAGATTTTCCATGTTAGCAGCAAGCAAGGTTTCTGTTGTCTTGGTGTCTAGATGAGTAAGTATAATTTACTAACGGCTGCAAGTACCATCTTCATTAAAGCAAATTTAGCTATTGATTATTTTTTAAAAGTTGTTTGCATTCAGGAAAGTCTTCTACAACAACAAACAAAGGAAGAATATGGTGTTATTTACTATTTTCTAATAGTTATAGTATTTCTAACAGTGATGCTATTTTAAAAGAAAAACAGAAATCCAGTTACAGTGTTTTTATGAATCTTTAAAAGAATGTGCACTACTGCAAAAATGCACTGAATTATAAGGTATGATGTTACATGTTCCCCTAAGGCTGATGGTGTTTAACTTCCTGGTTTTATGTGCTTTCTTTTTTATTTTTATCACTGAATATGTAACTTAAATAGGAGTGCTGTGTATGAATTTCAAAAAAGAAAAGTGGTTTTGTTCTAGCTAATCCTGGGAAAAAATACAGAAACTTTGCAGTGTATGAGAAAGTACTCCCAGTTTTAGGTCCATGATGTGTATACAAGGAAATTTTGTGGTTCACTAGAGCTAATTTCAATTAACAGCACCCAGGGTATGTATTTCTGTACTTCCAGAGTTTGTATCTAAGATTTGCTGGTATTCATTGGTAGGTGCCCAAGTTCCAAGTCTTTATGGAGTTGTACAATTCAAACCTTTGAATACAGGACATTGCTTGCTCAGAGGCTGTGATCACTTAGTGTTGCTTAGTAACTGTGAAATTGGAAGCAGGGTGTGATCCTTTGCTGATGGAAATCAATGGCAATGTTCTCAGTGCTCAGTGTTGCAGAATATGTTAGCTGAGGATGGAAGCAAATAAATGGAACTGAGGTTTACATAAAACCCATGAAAATATAAGCCAAATAATTTAAAAATAAAACCAAACCCAAACACTCTCCCTCCCACCCCAAAACAAACCCAAACCCACAAACAACAAAAAGACAACAATTCCATAATTTTTTTGGTAAAACTCCTCATGATGTTTATAACTCCTGAGGTATACTATAAAATAATGTTAAGGTGGCACACCAGATCCAACCTCAAGTCCAAGGCATTGCTGTATCCAGACGATTTCCCAAGCCAGTGCCTACAGGTGAGTAGAACGGGCACGGTTATACTGATCCTTCCTTGATACGCTCCTACAGCTGTGTTGTTCCCGAGCTGAAAATGGTATGTATGCTTTCAGTAGTCATTGTGGGATTTTCTTTCATTCATTTGTTGAAATGTTGAAATGTTTGAGTCCTAGTAAACCTCTCCTCTCTGCAATGTCTTAAATTGCCTAACTTGCATGAGGAATCACTTCTTTTGTGTTCTAACCAACAACTTGGAGATACAGTTAGAGCTTTTCTGTCATTCAAGAAGAGTTAGTGAGTCTCTCTCTCTCTTTTTCCTTGTTTAAGCCACTTAATATTTGTTTAGATTTCAGTTCTAGGTCTTGTCACTGACTTCTTTCCAAGCCAAAGAGTGCTGATCAGACAGTCCCTCCCTATGTGTGAGCCTATCCGTGTGTTCAGTCATGATCACTCCTGCCTGCACGTTCTCCAGGCTTCTTTTCTTCATTTTTTCCTTTTCTTATAATTCTTAATACTAATTTTGCTGTGTTGAGCTTTAATGAGCCTTGAGTTAAAAAAAAAAAAAAAAAAAAAAAAAAAAAAAAAAAAAAAAAAAAAAAGGGAGGTTTTGGGATGATGACTGCTGCAGATAATGGCTTTTGATTGCTAGTAGATGGTTGAAGCATCCTGGCACACAGCCAGACAGCTCTGGGGGCAGCTCAGGTTGAGGTCTCATTTCCTAAAATTATGAATCATGAGGGCTGCTATATTTACAGTACCAGTAAGAGGAATTGGTAGAACTTTCCTGCTGTATGCAGATTTTTCTACCTTTCACATCAGAAATTAACAGTGATATTTACAGTCTTGTGAAACTGATTTTATTCATTTGTGGGGTTTTTAAATTTTATATTTTATTGTCATCTTAAAAGGAGGAGGAACTTGTGTAGGGGTTTGGAAGAGGAAATGTCAGCTGAATTTATAGCAAAGGTACTTGTCCTAGATTCTTGTTCATTTTATGAGTATTTCTAATAGAGGAAAAATTGCTAACCCTGTCTAAACATAATTTTGTGAGTATTTTTAATAGAGGAAAAATTTCTAACCCTGCCTTAATATCTTCATTAAAACTGTTGAACATGACAAAAGGAGTTTGTTATGAGTTCTTCAAATCATTATTTTTGTTTTAAAAGGTGGAGGGTTGTTCTCTATGAAACCTGATTCTTGAAGTGTCTTTGCCATTTGGAATTCCTTTTACAGATCAGTTGCAGGATATATTCCCAAAATTCAAATAGTACTAGGCCCAGGGCTGCCACCTTCAGCCAAATACAAGTCTTAACATGTAGAACTTGTTTGGCTTCAATGGTGCAGTAAATAAATCTTTCTCTTTCTTTACTCATTTATTGAAGTTCATCAAAATTACAATTTGAGTGGAATTAACAACTTTAAAGTTCTTAACTAGTTTGCTCCTTTTTCATTTTGGCAATAGGATTATCAGTCTGGACAGTTCTCAATGGGCAGCAGGTTAACAGAAGAATTATGTCAATGTTACCTTGCAGGCACGGGACTTTTTTTTAAAATTTTTGAATATGTTCTTAAATTAAATTCTTAAATGAAATATTAGTTATGAGTGAGTTAGGTTCATATATCAAGCAGCAGGAGGTATTTTGGACAAGGGGAAATCTAATCTCTTTCATCTGTCTTTTTTTTTTTTTTTTTCCTGCTCAGCTCTTGCCTGGTAAATGACATTAAAATGTTTGAGCAGATGGTGCATGTGGCTTCAGTCGTGTGCCGGCCCATGTTCTGTCTCTGCTAACAGCTCTCTGTGGGGACCTGGAAATAGTTAATGCTGTATGTGTTTGTATGGATGCAGTGTAGAAGGGTAAATACAATGAATTTAAAATACATGCCTGAAACCCCGCAAAGTGAAATTAAAGTTACAGAGGTATTGGTGTATCAAACACCTGGGGCCTCCCAAGAGCATGAGACAAAACTGTTGGATGGACTGGTTCTTCCCACAGGAGCACCCAAAGTGATTTAAATCTGCTGCATAAGCTTCACAGCTCCGCATCCCAAATCTCTCAGGGGTCAATTTAGGTCACTGTCCGTCTCCTGTACAACCACACTGCTGGAGTATCCCGACTCTCCCAGCCCTTCCCGTGCTTACTGCCCTGAGACCACGCTGAGCCTCGCCTGTGGGCTGGAGCTGAGCTGCACCAGAGGCTGACACGCGTGCACACTGCAGGCATGTGGGCATGCTAAAAGGAGCTTTCCTCCTACTGTCCTTCGAAACTCAATGGAGAATGAAAGTCTTCCAGTCACATGGACATTTCCTTCAGAATATGTGGAGCTTTTTGGATCAATCTGCTGGGCAACCTCTTTCTATGTCTGAC